GGCCCTGATCCACCATGAGGCCGCAGGGGTGTTGATCCCTCAGAAAGACTCTTTAGGTATACTTTATTGAGTTTTCAAGGTTACTAACCCTCCAGGTTAATAATTCAAACAAAACATTTTTCATCTGGTAAGTCAGTGACGTCAACGACGAGTTCTCAGGCAACAAGGTCAGTCACTCGGCACAACATAAGCAGCAGTGTAACAAGATCAATTATGCTATGTTAGCAGATATTTGAACTAAAGTGAAAAATGAAATGACTCTTCTCTGACAGGTTACATTAAGTTAGAATGTTATCAGATATATTAACTTAAATTACATTTGAGAGAATGCTTGTTCTCTTTAGCCCCTCAAGGAAGGTTCCTTGATGTTGGTGAGGGGCTCTTGATTTAGGGAATTGGATCTGTGCTCCAGTTCCCCGAATTAAGCCTGAATGCCTTCCACATCCCCCCCCCCAGGCGCTGTATAATCCTCCGGGTTTAGCGCTTCCCCCTTGATTATAACAATAATTGTTCTCTTTAAACTAGAGTATTGCTGTATACTAACAACCCCTTTCAAAACAGGCAAAACTGCAGGCCTAGAGAATATACAGAGAACCTTCATTGCATGTGTAAGTACAAAAACACTCCTAAATTACTGACCTGTACTTCTTGGAATGTAGGTGAGAAAGGTACATGATAATATACACTTGGAAAATCCAAGTGGGACTAGTCCCAAATCTACACGTGGAAATCACTCCCTATGAAAGCAAAAGACTCGGCTGGCAGTGCAACATCCTCCCAATGAAAAGTAGCGGTACTGTAAGAATACTACGAGACAACACAATAAGTGTCAGGGGCCCGAGACTGTTCAACTGCCTCTCAGCATACATAAGGAGGATTGCCAATAGACCCCTGGCTGTCTTCAGAAGGAAGCTGGACAGACACCTAAAGTCAACACCTGACCAGCCGGGCTGTGGTTTCTACGTTGGACTGTATGCAGCCAGCAGTAACAGCCTGGTTGATCAGGCCCTGATCCAATGCAAGGTCTGGTCATAGACTGGTTCACAGGGAAGCGTTGACCCCTGGAACATCCTCCAGGTATATTTTATTCAAAATTCAAATTTTTTATTTCGTCGTAAAGTTCGTAACGTGGTTTAGCTGTTACAAAATACATACAAAGAAAGCCACTAGCATGCCTAGGCATTTTGGGCAAACTAATACATACTAATTCTTACTGGCTGATTTACATTGACACAGGTTATGGAGAGGTACATTCTAATGATCATTATTTCACTTTATTACAAAAGTTAGGTAATCAACAATTTTATGATTAATTAGATTAATAACAGTGAGGTAGCAAAACAATAATAGTATTACAATTATCAAATCAAATCAAATCTAAGTTTATTCTCTATAAGGGTTACAATGCAGGGTTTACAGATTTTGGTTATTGTGTGGTTTACATGTAGTAAAATAATTACAGAGGGGACCAGTAGGACACCTAGCATGGCTAGGTATTTCGGGCAAACTTAGATTAATTCTTAACCCTAAATTATTACAAATTGTGGAGTAAGTTGACTAAATACTAAGTGAATGCTTTTGTTTTGGCACTATACATAGTTTCTATATTGGAGTATCACAGGCAAACTTATGACTAGTTAGGAATCATTATTTTAAGATTAAGATTCGTATTTCTATGCTTATAGTTAAATGGGTGAGTGAGTGAGTGTAAGTGTGAACCACCAGGTGGTTTTTATGTAGTTAGTTGACGGGGTGTATCAGGGAGATAAGATGTTTTCTAATGGAAGTTTTGAAGGTGATGAATGTGTCTGCAGTTCTAGAGTTCTCAGGTAGGGTGTTCCAGATTTTAGGGCCTTTGACATACACTGAATTTTTGTATAGATTTAGTCAGACACGGGGAATGTCGTAGAGATGTTTGTGTCTGGTGTTATGCTTGTGGGTCCTGTCACAACTAACAAGAAAGCACTTTACGTCAAGGTTAATATTGGAATTTAAGGTCCTGTATATGTAGATTGCACAGTAGTAAGTGGATGTACTGAACAGGTCGTAAGTTTAGATCTATGAAGAGGGGGGGGGGGTGTTGCCAGGGATGGGATTTAGTGATTATTCTTACTGCGGCTTTTTGTTGAGTTATTATTGGCTTTAGGTGTATTGCTGCAGTTGATCCCCAAGCACAAATTGCATAGGTGAGGTATGGATAAATGAGTGAATGGTATAGTGTGAGAAGGGCAGTTTGCGGCACGTAGTATCCTATCTTGGAGAGGATCCCAACTGTTTTGGATACTTTTTTTGATGTGTTGGATATGGGTGCTGAAATTCAGGTTGTTGTCGAGGTATAGGCCTAGGAATTTGCCCACATTATGTCTGGCAATTAGAGTGCTGTCAATCTTAATGTTTAGTTGTGTAGCACCTGCTCTGCTACCAAACATAATATAGTAGGTTTTGTCAGTGTTAAGTGTAAGTTTATTGGCTGTCATCCAAGTTGATATTTTGATCAGCTCCTCATTAACAATGGTGTTGAGGGTGGCAAGATTAGGGTGAGAGATGACATAAGTCGTGTCATCAGCATCAGGGGGGCTCTGGTGGCCTGGTGGCTAACGCTCTCGCTTCACACGGCGAGGGCCTGGGTTCGATTCCCAGCCAGAGTAGAAACATTGGACGTGTTTCTTTCCACCTGTTGTCTATGTTCCCCATCAGTAAAATGGGTACCTGGGTGTTAGTCGACTGGTGTGGGTCGCATCCTGGGACACTGACCTAATTTGCCCGAAATGCGGAGCATAACAATGGAGTTTCTATAAAGTAGTATGTCATTGTTGTCAGCTAGGACTGTATACCTTGTACATGTACTTGTAGTAAATAAAGATATTATTATTATTATTATAAAGAGAATGGGGTTCAGGTGTTGGGATATGTTTGGAAATCATTGATGTATATGAGGAAGAGCAGGGGACCAAGGACACTTCCCTGCGGAACTCCAGTATCAAGTGGCCGTGTTGTTGATGCTGTGTCTTTAATAGTGACATACTGATACCTGTTAGTAAAGTAAGATTTGAAATATTCAAGCGCATGGCCTCTTATACCATAATGGTCAAGTTTGTGGAGCAGGATGCCGTGGTCTACTGTGTCAAAAGCTTTTCTTAGGTCAATAAAAATTCCTAGTGGATATTCCTTATTTTCCAATGCTGTGTAAAGCAGATCTAGCATTTTTATGATTGCATCATTAGTGCTTTTATTTTTCCTGAAACCAAATTGGCAGGGGTTGAGTATGTTTTGTGCCGTTATAAATGAATACAGTCTCCTGTGCACGAGTTTCTCAAAGATTTTGGATAGCAATGGTAAGTTAGATATTGGCCTATAGTTATTTAAGTCTGTAGGGTCACCACCTTTATGTATTGGTGTAACCCTTGCCATCTTGAGTAGTTTCGGGAAGGTGCTAGTCTCTATTGACTTGTTAAAAAGTAATGAAATACCATGCGAAAGGACATGGGAGTAAGTTTATTCAGGTATACACAAATACAGTTACACAGATTATCATACATAGCAGCATATGTATAAATTACCTGGGATAACCCCAAAAAAGTTAGACAAAGTGAGTTATTTCCATTGACCTCCGGAACACTCTCCAGGTAAACTCTAGGTAAACTCCAGATATTCTGGGAATGGTTTTATCTTGGTATGTTACAATGTTTTTACAGTGTTGAAAGCCCTTATATGGCAGAATATTACAGTCCCTGGATCCATTATGTATCTCTGTAATGTTGAGGTACAGTCCCTGGATCCATTATGTACCTCTGTAATGTTGAGGTACAGTCCCTGGACCCATTATGTACCTCTGTAATGTTGAGGTACAGTCCCTGGACCCATTATGTGCCTCTGTAATGTTGAGGTACAGTCCCTGGACCCATTATGTATGTCTGTAATGTTGAGGTACAGTCCCTGGACCCATTATGTATCTCTGTAATGTTGAGGTACAGTCCCTGGACCCATTATGTATGTCTGTAATGTTGAGGTACAGTCCCTGGACCCATTATGTATCTCTGTAATGTTGAGGCACAGTCCCTGGACCCATTATGCACCTCTGTAATGTTGAGGTACAGTCCCTGGACCCATTATGTATGTCTGTAATGTTGAGGTACAGTCCCTGGACCCATTATGTATCTCTGTAATGTTGAGGCACAGTCCCTGGACCCATTATGCACCTCTGTAATGTTGAGGTACAGTCCCTGGACCCATTATGTATCTCTGTAATGTTGAGGCACAGTCCCTGGACCCATTATGTACCTCTGTAATGTTGAGGTACAGTCCCTGGACCCATTATGTACCTCTGTAATGTTGAGGTACAGTCCCTGGACCCATTATGTACCTTTGTAATGTTGAGGTACAGTCCCTGGACCCATTATGTACCTTTGTAACCTTTTGACTACCGCCCACAGGATGGGTATGGGGTACATAATAAACATATTAAACTAACTCCTGTCATCAGCGACGGGTTATCAGGCAACGAGGTCGGGCACTTGGCTTGGTGTGTAGCCCATGGCTTGGTTGGTAAGGCTCTCGCCTCACACACGGAGTGTCCATGGTTCGATTCCTGGACGTTGCAACATCCCCCCAATGAAAAGCAGGGGTGTCACTAGCACGTTAAGAGACCATACAATAAGTGTCAGGGGCCCGAGACTGTTCAACTGCCTCCCAGCACACATAAGGGGGATTACCAACAGACCCCTGGCAGTCTTCAAGCTGGCACTGGACAAGCACCTAAAGTCAGTTCCTGATCAGCCGGGCTGTGGCTCGTACGTTGGTTTGCGTGCAGCCAGCAGCAACAGCCTGGTTGATCAGGCTCTGATCCACCAGGAGGCCTGGTCACAGACCGGGCCGCGGGGGCGTTGACCCCCGGAACACTCTCCAGGTAAACTCCAGGTATGCCGTCACTCTACACCTAGCAGTAATGGACTCGTAAAATTGTAACGACACAATTGCAAATAAACCATATTATGGTTTACCTGGGTGTTAATGGACTGGTGTGGGCGGCATCCTGGGGGAGAGAGAGTCCTTGATAATACACTGACGTTCTTGGTTATCCCGGGGCAGATAACTGGGTTTAAAACATGAATAAATCACATTTTATCCTAGAGCGCTAGACCTGCATGGGTTAAACATCGCTTAATAGCAATATTACAATAACCTAGATGGAAATAAGTCACTTTTTTTGGTTATCTTAAGTAATTTACATATATGTTAGAAGTTGATAAGTTATATATAGTATCACTAAACTTATATGTAACTTAGTTACGTATAATTGAACTTAAATAAACTTGGTAAACTCACCGACGTCTCGGCCACTTGAGTCATCCATTAATATTATCATATTTCCGTTGATTTATCATATTTTTGGAGTAAATAACAATATAAGAGAGTGTTTACTTACCTCACAAATATATATTGTAGTGATAGTTACTCCAGAGCTTCAGATATTGACGATAATTAAGAAAAACTTGAATATATCTCGAGTTGTTGTTGGTGTTTAAAGGTCAGTGGGAGAGTAAGTCGTGTGGATACACAAATAACCCGCACATAAAAGACAGAAGCTTACGACGACGTTTTGGTCCGACTTGGACCATTGACAAAGTCACACTAACAGAGGAGGAGCAGGACGGCTATATATAGGCAGGAAGAGGTGGAGGTAGTAGTATAGTAGTAGTATAGTAGTAGTAGTAGGTAGGTAGTATAGTAGTATGTAGTAGTGTAGTAGTAGTAGTAGTAGTAGTAGTAGTGGTAGTAGTAGTAGTAGTAGTAGTAGTAGTGGTAGTAGTAGTAGTAGTAGTAGTAGTAGTAGTAGTAGTAGTAGTAGTAGTAGTAGTAGTAGTAGTATAGTGAGTGTAGTAGTAGTGTGGTAGTAGTGTAGTAGTAGTAGTAGTAGTAGTAGTGGTAGTAGTAGTAGTAGTAGTAGTAGTAGTGGTAGTAGTAGTAGTTGGTAGTAGTAGTGGTAGTAGTAGTAGTAGTAGTAGTAGTGGTAGTAGTAGTAGTAGTAGTAGTAGTGGTAGTAGTAGTAGTTAGTAGTAGTAGTAGTAGTGTAGGGTAGTAGTAGTGTAGTAGTAGTAGTAGTAGTGGTAGTAGTAGTGGTAGTAGTAGTAGTAGTAGTGGTAGTAGTAGTGATAGTAGTAGTGGTAGTAGTAGTGGTAGTAGTAGTAGTAGTAGTAGTAGTGGTAGTAGTAGTGGTAGTAGTAGTAGTAGTAGTTAGGTAAGACACATATGCAACAGTTAGACAACTTTATTCCGAAACGTTTCGCCTACACAGTAGGCTTCTTCAGTCGAATACAGAAAGTAGGCAGGAACAGTAGAGATGTGAAGACGATGTAATCAGTCCATCACCCTTAAAGTCGTAGAATTTGAGGTTGTCAGTCCCTCGGCCTGGAGAAGTTCAGTTCCATAGTCAGGAACTATCTGAAGATCAAGCAACGAACGAACGAAAGTTCAGGTAAGATCCCAAATGGGATGAGCGGGGAAGACGGGACAGACGAAGAATAGTGCTGGAGAGGAGTGTTGTTAGTCGTAGAAATAGAGCCAGGGCTTAACCCAGCAGCAAAGGCGATCGTGGGACAGATATTGAAAAGAGAAATTCCGGTTCTTCTGTTGGGACTCCGGTGGGGTGAACTGGGAGTAAGGGACTTGCGACCTTTAGAGCTAGAGAGGAGTGCAGAACTGAGTCATGTCTTAACCCAAAAAAGCTAAGGCGAACGTGGGTCAGAGAATGGTACCTGTCTTAGAAGGTACCTGTCAGCGGATCCAAGGTTATTTGTAAGTAGGGTTAGGAGCAGGATCATGCAAGGAGTAGAAAAGGTTGTGTTGGTTTGTGGGTCTGCGAATGTCTTCGTCAAGGAGAGAGGTCCAGTAGTCATGTCGTGTCTCAAGTTTGTCTATCTGTCTGTCACTGGTAGTAGTGAGAGGCCACTGAGAGGTCATGTCCCTCTCAGATCCAACCCTTCATCTTGGTACAGAAAACACCTTGGACAAGCTTTTCAAGTGAGAAGGGTTGGATCTGAGAGGAACATGACCTCTCAGTTGCCTCTCACTACTACTACTACTACTACTACTACTACTACTACTACTACCCTGCACCTCTCCTTCGGACAGTATTTAAGTCTCCGCACTGTCGCTTGATCTTCAGATAGTTCCTGACTATGGAACTGAACTTCTCCAGGCCGAGGGACTGACAACCTCAAATTCTACGACTTTAAGGGTGATGGACTGATTACATCGTCTTCACATCTCTACTGTTCCTGCCTACTTTCTGTATTCGACTGAAGAAGCCTACTGTGTAGGCGAAACGTTTCGGAATAAAGTTGTCTAACTGTTGCATATGTGTCTTACCTAACAACCTGTCGGTATTGTATACCATTTTGATGTTCAGTAGTAGTAGTACAAGAATTGTATATAATACCGACAGGATGAAATGACACATGCACAACACCCGGGCATCCCCACGTAGACTTTTTCGCCATCCAGCCACCACTGGATGGCGAACGTCCACAACAAAGAAAACCCCAGACGCCGCAATGTGTCTAATTTCATCAGAGATTAGTAAAAGAAAAGAGGTGTAGTAGTGGTAGTGGTAGAAGTGGGAAATAAGGAAGACGACCCAGCAAATACAAAGGGGGGGGAGCACTGCAAGAGAGCTAGATGCCCCAAGGGAGAGAAAGCGCACCGGGTGGGAAAGGGGAAGTGGTGAAATAAAATAAAAAGGAACAAAACCGGACAGGAGAGAGAAAGAAACCCCTGGGAGAAAAGGAGAGGGAAAGGGGAAGAGGAAGGGAAAAAGAAGAAGAAAAAAAAAAAGAGATCAGGTTAAGTCAGGGGTGTTTCTGAATTTTGGGAGCATTTTACAAGTAGTGGGGGGGAAAGGGCTCAAAAGAGACGAAGCAGGGCTAAGATTCATAAAAGGAAAAATTGTGTATTAGAGAGGATTCAACTAGAGGGGCACGTTCGGTTGGAAGTAGGAAGACAGTTTTGCAGAAGACCAGTAAATAGGATGGCTGTGATCTTGGTGACGAAAAAGCTTGTTATTTTCGGCAAGCCTAACACTATTTTTTGTAAAGTTAAGAACATGTGCAAAATTGGATTCTTTTTTGAGAGACGTTTGCCATCCATGGGTTTATCAATCAGTTCTAGGACATAATGGAAAACAGTAGAACTATAACAAAAGTGAGGTAAACGCCCCCGGGCCTTGGAGTTGTGTTCACAGCATCGTGGTGGAGGGGACTCTCCTCCACCACGAGCTTGAAAACAACTCCCAAAGGGGGGGGACTGATTTCCTCATTTTTTTGATATGTTCTACTGTCTTCCATTTTGTCCTAGAAACTGTATTGATAAAGCCACTGGTGGCGAAACGTCTACACAATAAAGATATCCAGGTTGCCATGTGTCTTAACTTTCATATTGTCGGTATTTTTACCCTTTTTTTTGCACTATTTTTTGTGCTCCAGAAGGCTTGTTTTGGCTTGCCCACCTAAAAATTCTTTTTCTGTCAGTCAGAGATCATAGGCTCCTATTTACTGGTTTCTGCTAAAAAAGTCTTCCCTACTTCCAATCGAAAAAGTCGCCGTCTAGTTGAATCCTCTTAAACACAACTTTCCTTTTATGAATCTTAGCCCCGGGTTCGTCTCTGTAGATGCCTTCCTCTCCCACTACATTGTAAAATGCTCCAAACTTCAGAACACCCGTGACAACCTGACTCCTCATTTTTTCTTATTCTTCTTCTTTTTCTCCTTCCTCTTCCCCTTTCCTCTCTCCTTTTCTCCTCAGGGTTGTCTTTCTCTCTCCTGTCTCGTGTTTCTGTTCCTTCTTTATTTTATTTCACCACTTCCCCTTTCACGCACCTCGGTGCGCTTGCTCTCCCTCTGTGGGTTTCTAGCTCTCTTGCAGTGCTCCCCTTCCTTTGTATTTGACTGGCTCGTCTTCCTTATTTCCCACTTCTACCACTACCACTACTACTACCTCTTCTTCTTCTACTACATCTACTGATGAAATTAGACACATGTGCGGCGTCTGGTTGTCTTTGTTGTGGACGTTTCGCCATCCAGTGGCTGGCTGGATGGCGAAACGTCTACGGTGGGGATGCCCGGGTGTTGTGCATGTGTCATTTCATCCTGTCGGTATTATATACATTTCTTGTACTACTACTACTACTACTACTACTACAACTACTACCACTACTACTACCTCCACCTCTTCCTGCCTATATATAGCCGTCCTGCTCCTCCTCTGTTAGTGTGACTTTGTCAATGGTCCAAGTCGGACCGAAACGTCGTCGTAAGCTTCTGTCTTTTATGTGCGGGTTATTTGTGTATCGTTCCAGTCACGGTATTGTGCCTTTTTGTTATTTATAAGTCGTGTGGAGCCTGGTCTACCAGAGCCTGGTCTTCCAGAGCCTGGTCTTCCAGAGCCTGGTCTTCCAGAGCCTGGTCTACCAGAGCCTGGTCTACCAGAGCCTGGTCTTCCACAGCCTGGTCTTCCACAGCCTGGTCTTCCAGAGCCTGGTCTTCCAGAGCCTGGTCTTCCAGAGCTGGTCTCCAGAGCCTGGTCTTCCAGAGCCTGGTCTACCAGAGCCTGGTCTTCCACAGCCTGGTCTTCCACAGCCTGGTCTTCCAGAGCCAGGTCTTCCAGAGCCTGGTCTACCAGAGCCTGGTCTTCCAGAGCCAGGTCTTCCACAGCCTGGTCTTCCACAGCCTGGTCTTCCACAGCCTGGTCTTCCAGAGCCAGGTCTTCCAGAGCCTGGTCTTCCAGAGCCTGGTCTTCCAGAGCCTGGTCTACCAGAGCCTGGTCTACCAGAGCCTGGTCTTCCAGAGCCAGGTCTTCCAGAGCCTGGTCTACCAGAGCCTGGTCTTCCAGAGCCAGGTCTTCCAGAGCCAGGTCTTCCACAGCCTGGTCTTCCACAGCCTGGTCTACCAGAGCCTGGTCTTCCAGAGCCTGGTCTTCCACAGCCTGGTCTTCCACAGCCTGGTCTTCCACAGCCTGGTCTTCCAGAGCCAGGTCTTCCAGAGCCTGGTCTTCCAGAGCCAGGTCTTCCAGAGCCTGATCTTCCAGAGCCTGGTCTTCCAGAGCCTGGTCTTCCAGAGCCTGGTATACCAGAGCCTGGTCTACCAGAGCCTGGTCTTCCAGAGCCTGGTCTTCCAGAGCCTGGTCTTCCAGTGTCTGGTCTTCCAGAGCCTGGTCTTCCAGAGCCTGGTCTACCAGAGCCTGGTCTTCCAGAGCCTGGTCTACCAGAGCCTGGTCTTCCAGAGCCTGGTCTTCCAGAGCCTGGTCTTCCAGAGCCTGGTCTTCCAGAGCCTGGTCTTCCAGTCTGGTCTTCCAGAGCCTGGTCTTCCAGAGCCTGGCCTTCCAGTGCCTGGTCTTCCAGTGCCTGGTCTTCCAGTGCCTGATCTTCCAGTGCCTGGTCTTCCAGAGCCTGGTCTTCCAGTGCCTGGTCTTCCAGTGCCTGGTCTTCCAGTGCCTGGTCTTCCAGTGCCTGGTCTTCCAGAGCCTGGTCTTCCAGTGCCTGGTATTCCAGTGCCTGGTCTTCCAGTGTCTGGTCTTCCAGAGCCTGGTCTTCCAGAGTCTTGTCTTACAGTTCCTGGCCTTCCAGTG